TCTTTTAAACGTTTTTAAGCCTTGTTTGTAAAACCGCGGACAGCTATTTACAGAATGAAGAGTCAATGTTGTTCCATTCAAACAGTTGACGGCTTCAAACAGTTGATGAATAGTTAAAAAAAAAAAAAAAAAAAAAAAAAGTTTCTCCTGTTGGTTTATATGTAACATGAGACCAACTATTATGTAGGGTTCAAATCTGGGCTTTGACCAGGCCTAAACATGAACCTGGTGGACTTAATTCGCCAACCATTTTGGGGCTGTCTTTGCTGTCTAATTATGAAGAGTGCATTGTCTAGCTGAACAATAACATTTGACCATTCCTCTTTAGAAAAGAACTTTTCAATTGTGGGTAGCAAGTCTTTCTGCAATATTTTCCTGTATTCTAAAGCATTGAATTTTCGCCATTTAGGTTTTTGTACTTTTTTTTAAAATTTTTATGTATGTTTTATGATTTTATTTTTTTACTTACAACACTCACTAGATTTATATTGTTCAGACTGTTGTCATCATCTTTATTGTCATATTCACGACGTTTCGATCATTGTACGCTCCGGCCTTCAGGTGACATACGTTGGATTTTCCACCCGAACCACTTATTTAGTCCACTGGGTTAGATTGTTCTAGTTCCACGCTGAATCCACACCAATAAACTATTGTGTCACCTCAAGCCATTTTACAGATCTTCAATCTCTCTCCAGCACTTATTGTTTGAGCATTGGTCAACTTGTATCCTAGTCATTCATTACTTACATTATATGTACATGTTGAATTATCTCCAAAAGCTTCAGTGAAAATTTCTTTTCCCAGTTTTGAAAATTTTATTAAATTTTAAAAATTAGTTCATTTTTGGTAGATTTTTAAAATCGAGGTGTCTTTCTAAAGCAAATTTACAATATTTAGACTGTTGTTCTCATCTTTGTTGTCATATTCACAATGCTTCAGCCATTGTACACTCCAGCCTTCTTCAGGTGATTGGAATTTTGAACTGAAACCCTTTATTTTGTCCACCAGGGTAGATTGTTCTAGTTCCACGTCCCCTACCTCTTCCAGATATCTCAATTTCAGTTATTTCCCTTAGTAACCCAACTCTCCAAATTTTGTTCACCTCTGTTGTGGCCACTACTCTTGGCCCAAGTTACTGGATTACTTCAACCAATCCTTTTATCCCCTGGGCCATGTTTCCTTGGATACAATGGCCGAAACGTCATGAATATGACAATAAACATGTGGACAACAGTCCGAACAGTGTAAATAATGTAAATAGTTACAATACCTCATCTCAGAAATATAGAAAGATGTTTCGGTTCGAAATTCCAACATATATCACCTGAAGAAGGCTGGAGCGTTCAACAGCCGAAACGTCGTGAACGTGGCAATAAAGACGTGTACAACATTCCGAACAATGTAAATAGTTACAATACTTAATCTCAGAAATATACACTACAGTTCAAAAGTTTGAAGACAGTCCCAGAATTAGCATTGGATGAACTTGACAGAAGATTGAAAAAGAAAAATGAAAAACTTCTCTTAGAGTCATTTGAAAAAGAAAGGAATCAATTATCAAGCTTATACTTTGAGTAACGAACGCTAAATATTTGTGCTGCTGTAATCAAGGAGGATATTTTGACGAGAGCAAAATTTTATCATAAAATACTATTTTTCTTTTTGTCATAATAAAATTTCCAATAAAAAAAAATCATCTCTCCCTTTTTTTGACTATGTATTAGGTTGGTGCAAAAATAATGACGTAATAATGTCGTTTTTTGACGTATTTTTAACGTCGAAAACGACATTTTTCAATCATTATTTTTGCACCAACCTAATATAATAATTTTCTCTTATTTAAAATACAAAGCAACTATTTTTAGGCCAATTAAAAAAAATGCCATATGTGTCCTCAACATTTTAAGCTGTAGTATAGACAGAATATTCAGTAGATTTCGACAGTTATAAATCTAGTCACGCATGCCATTTCACAGATAATGTGACCAATGATGGGCGCGAAGCTGAATGTTTAGAATGTTAGCTTTCCAATTAGTCAAAGGGGTATCTGTCTATATTTCTGAGATGAGGTATTATATACACTATTTACATTATTCGGACTATTATCCTCATCTTTGTCGCCATATATATTACAGCGTTTCGGCCGCTGTACGTTCCGGCCTTCTGCGTCATGTGTCCTCAAGGCGTTAGTTAGATCCAGTGACAGGACCCAAAGAGTGTGAGTTCAATACCCGGTTAAGGCAGTGGAGAACTTGGAGAGGGGGAATTAACTAGAGATAACTGATAACTAACATCCGTTAAACACGGCACGTGGAACTAGAACAGTCTACCCCAGAGAGCGAAATAAAGGGTTCAGTTCGACATTCCAACCACCTGAAGAAGGCCGGGGCGTACAACGGCCGAAACGTTGTAATAAATATGGTGACAAAGATGAGGACAATAGTCCGAATAATGTAAATAGTGTCGTCAAAGGAGGTATTTTATTTTATAATCTCGATCTGGAAGGACGTTCCCAGCATGCTCCACTGTTTGAAAGTGCCCCAAAACAATATTAACCAGAAAACCATGAACGTGAAATTGGGTAGTCTATACTCTTCGGAGTTCTCACCTTATGGGAAGACCGAAACTCTTTAGCCTTGGTCGGCAATCTATCGAGAGATAGTGTCTAAAAAAAAAAAAAGCTATCATTCACTCAAAAGCATCATCATCATCGTCGTCGTCATCATCATCGCCATCATCATCATCATCATCATCGTCATCATCATCAGTCCCATGAGCGGGTGTGCCGCTAGTGTCATTCCAAAGCTGGCCACCTGACTCGTTCCCGCTACATATCTGGGTTGAGTGAACCTGACGGAGACCATTCCTTTTTCTTATTCCTGGGTATAACGATAGACTACATCCGGCAGCAAGTCCTTTGATCGGGAGACTGGAGGTATTGAGAAGCATGAAACCACCTCTTAATTGCTGTTGTTCTCATGTCCACCCTGACCTAGGTTGGTAGCACCTCTTAGGGTCCCAGCTATGGGTAAATAGTAAACCCCAAAACACTATGAAAGTATAAAAATACATTTCAATACTAAAAATTCCAGCAATACATTTTTGTATATAAAAAAAATTTACTAACGATACATATATTAGAATTTCCAACAATAGAGTTTTCAAGCCGAATTACTACTAATAAATTTTATAGCAAAATGACTAACAATACATTTTATCTGTAGCTGAAACCATAAAACAATGTTCGCAATTTTTAGATTTCGGCATTAAATAACTTATAAAGTTTTGATATGCCGCTAAACAAAGTCAATCAATCAAGTAACCATTCCTTTTCCAGGTAAGACCACAGCTGATGCCCCCGAACTTGAAGGCTGGCCGCGGATTCCATCGGAGGAACCCTTTGCGATTAGTTCAACCTAAGAAGCCTAGCGATGTCGTATCATTACTGCACTGGCTGTATACCCTATTGTGTTAGATGGCGATTTAACTTACAAGAACGGTGGGGGTCATCAGCACCCTGGCAGTGTAATATTAGACAATATTGTTAGATGTAAGACGTGGAATATGAGATTTTTAGTTAGTCATTGGCAGCCATTATATTGAGATTAAATATCAGAAGTTAATAACGACAACAGCAATTCATTACACTTTATTCAATTCAGTGAACCGCTTATAAATTTAAATTCAAATAGAATATATGGCTAGAACCTCCGATGGTCTAAACATAACTCTTTACAATGAATTAAGATAGATAGATAGATAGATAGATAGATAGATAGATAGATAGATAGATAGATAGATATTAGGTTGAATGCAAAAAATAATGACGTAAGAATGTCGTTTTTTTGACGTTAAAAAAATACATCAAAAACGACATTATTACGTCATTATTTTTGCACCAACCTAATAGATAGATAGATAGATAGATAGATAGATAGATAGATAGATAGATAGATAGATAGATACATCCATTCATCCATCCATACATGCATACATACATACATACTTGGTCGCTGTCGACTCACAAAGCGAGTATAACCATCAATGACATATCCAGGCTTTCAGATAAACTCACCCCCACAAACACTGCATTCATCGGTTGTGTGAACGACAGTGACTCATAAAGCCAACTATCGATCTACATTTCACATATGTTGCATATCAAATCACCTCCAGGTGGTGGAAGTTGACTTTGATCATCATCACTTCCGATGTTCCTTTTCATAGTCCTTGTCAGGCCCGACCTAGACTGGCACACAAAGCGTGCCATAACGAAATCGTCATATACAATAGACTGTTGGCGTTGGTGTGACCGCTGGTGACTGAGCGGGCCCACCCTGGAAAGACATATCTGACTGTATTGGGCACATGGCCAGGTTGGCACCTCGTGGCAATTCAGGGATCGCTTCCGAACACCACTTTTCAGTTCTGCATATTTTTGTGATGCCGTCAGCAACTCTCCAAGAAACCTGGTCTTTAGCTAGAGTCTCCCAGTTATCCAGACTAATATTGCACTTGTGACTCTAAGGCAATCTTTGTAATGAAGTTTGAGCTTGTCCTGCATACATACATACATACATATATAATAGCAGGCCACTCATATTCGGGGATACCCGTCTACTAGGGCGGCTAGCTAATCCCTATTGCAGACGCTCACTCGGACACGGTTGTGTTTGCTCAACACCCACAAAGCTCACCTGTGGTTTGTACTGCAACTATGCTGAGTAGAACTTAGACCTGGGAGGAAGTGTGTTATCTAGCGTGATCAACAAATTTGAACAAGGCCAGCACGCTCAAGCCCTCGGCTACGATGATTTGTGGCTTCGTGCTAGCACAGCTATCGACGGTCCACAAGAGTTCCATCTATCCAATTTCACTCAGAAGGCTTGGGTCAACCTGTGGTGTGGTTTTCAGGCACTTTCAAAAGGTGCCACATCCAGTCCAATACCATCGCCTCCCTTACAAATCGACCATGGTGAGATTCGAACCCGGGCCCCATGGTAAGAAAAGTGCCAATATAACGAACATTATATAGCATACATACATACACAGATATGATGACTGAGATAGATAGAAAGAGGAAGAGGAGAAGAAAAAAAAGGAGGAGGAGGAGAAGAAAGAGGCAAAGAAAAGGAAGGAGGAGAAGAAGAAGAAAGAGGAGAAGAGTAGATATCAATGTCGGAATTGCTAGATATAACTAATGCTAATAATTTCATATACCGCACTCCTCGCTTGTAGAACTCTCTTCCGGCTTTTTGCTTCCTGTCAAAACTTTATATGCAACGTCATTCGCCATCTTCTGTCTCCTTAAATCCTGTTCTTTTACTGTATTCTCTGTTTCGTTTACTCTCGATAATGTCTTACTGGCTTTTATCACCTTACTTGGGGCGAAATGCTTTAAAAATAAAACTGACCTGTTTGTATTCGCTGAAATAACAATTAGGAATGAGAAAACTTAACAATATAATGCACCGATACTATCTATCTATCTATCTCAGTTTTCATATCTATCTATCTATCTCTTCCTATTAAAATCTATCTATCTATCTATGTATGTATCTATCTCAATTATATCTATCAATCATCTATCTCAGCCTGTTCATATCTATCTATCTATCTACCTATCTATCGATCTATCTCTATCTCTTCCTATTAAAATCTATCTATCTATCTATCTATCTATCTCTATCTATCTATCTATCTATCTATCTATCTATCTCAGTCTGTTTATATCTATCAATCATCTATCTCAGCCTGTTCTTGTTCATATCTATCTATCTCTGTTTAGACATGTCTCATCTATCTATCTATTTATCTATCTATCTATCTCAGTTTTCATATCTATCTATCTATCTATCTATCTATCTATCTATCTATCTATCTATCTCAGTTTTCATATCTATCTATCTATCTATCTATCTATCTATCTCAGTCTGTTTATATCTATCAATCATCTATCTCAGCCTGTTCTTGTTCATATCTATCTATCTATCTATCTCTGTTTAGACATGTCTCATCTATCTATCTATTTATCTATCTATCTATCTCAGTTTTCATATCTATCTATCTATCTATCTATCTCAGTTTTCATATCTATCTATCTATCTATCTATCTATCTATCTATCTATCTATCTATCTATCTCAGTCTGTTTATATCTATCAATCATCTATCTCAGCCTGTTCTTGTTCATATCTATCTATCTATCTATCTATCTATCTCTGTTTAGACATGTCTCATCTATCTATCTATTTATCTATCTATCTATCTCAGTTTTCATATCTATCTATCTATCTCAGTTTTCATATCTATCTATCTATCTATCTATCTATCTATCTATCTATCTCAGTTTTCATATCTATCTATCTATCTATCTATCTATCTATCTATCTATCTATCTATCTATCTATCTATCTATCTTACATACAACTTAACTGATTCACACATAGAATAGCTAATGACAAACAAACCAACATCAACCTATCAATAAGAAGATACGCATGAACGCACAAAAACAAACAAAAAAATGCAAAAACAGATCTTCCCACATTGAGGGTGTATCAAATGGACTTTTCAATTTTTAATTAACTCGATAGTTGTATATTTTACAAACCTTATGTAATGATTGACATTATTTGGGAAGGATTTTAGAATAATCCGGAATTTATACTGGGAGTAAACCTCCTGCATATGCATAGAAAATTGATTGAAAGAGGGGCGTATGTCATTTCTCCCCGGATCTATTCAACCACAACAGCAAGACGATCCTGAAAAAAACTAGAAATCCTACCAGCATTTATTGAAAATAAATGAACACATAACAGCATAAATAGATGGCACAGTGTTGCTAGTAAGAATAGAAAGGAAACTTCAGGAACTATTAGGAGTCAAGTTGGTAAGGAAAGCATGAAGAAAAGACTAAGAATTAAAAGACTAAACAAAAAAATAGACGGAACGAGAAAAAAGACCGAAAGGAAAACTTACTAACTGCATATCAAAATGCATATAAGCGAAAGACTGGATGATAGGGACGGAGGGAAAGGCATGAAACTGCGATACATGAAAAAAATCTTTTGAACTGGAGTAATATATTAAATCCTTTGAACTGGAGTAATATATCAAATCTTTTGAACTGGAGTAATATATTAAATCTTTTGAACTGAAGTAATATATTAAATCCTTTGAACTAGAATAATATATTAAATCTTCAGAACTGGCGTAATATATTAAAACTTTTGAACTAGCGTAATATATTAAATCTTTCGAACTGGAGTAATATATTAAATACTTTAAACTGGAGTAATATATTAAATCTTTTGAACTAGCGTAATATATTAAATCCTTTGAACTGGAGTAATATATTAAATCTTTTGAACTGGAGTAATATATTAAATCTTTTGAACTGGAGTAATATATTAAATCTTTTGAACTGGAGTAATATATTAAATCTTTTGAAGTGACGTAATATATTAAATCTTTTGAACTGGCGTAATATATTAAATCTTTTGGACTGGAGTAATATATTAAATCTTTTGGACTGGAGTAATATATTAAATCTTTTGAAGTGACGAAATATATTAAATCTTTTGAGCTGGAGTAATATATTAAATCTTTTGGACTGGAGTAATATATTAAATAAGCACAAAAGTTTAAATATAAATATTAGTTAAGGATAGCAAAATGAAGGGACTAAGCAACAATTGCAAGAAGAGTGTATGGTTGCCATCAAGAGGAACAATTCAGGATATAAACTACGAACTGGAGATACCAAAATCAAGGAAGTAAAGAAATTTAAATATCTGGGAATTGTTTTAATAGAAGACAGAATAATCTGACAGTGAATTCTGAAGGCATATTGGAATAGCAATATATGCCTTCCAAAACTAAGCAAAGTATTAATAAACAGGAAAATTGGATCTCGTCAAGATTAGCGAACCCAACATTTCCATGTCAAGAACAGCGAACTCAATTAAAGCCATGTAAAGGACAGCGAACGCAATTATCCACATATAAATAACAACGAATCCAATTATCCCCATGTAAAAAACACCGGACACAATCATCCCCATGTAAAGAACATCAGACCCATTTATCTGCATGTAAAGAATACCGAACCCAATTATACCCATGTAAAGAACAAAGGACGCAATTATCCCCATGTAAATAAGAACGTACCCGATTATTCCCATTGTAAATAAGAACGTACCCGATTATTCCCATTGTAAAGAACACTGAACCCAATTATCCCCATGCATATAACAGCGAACACTATTATCTCCATGTAAAGAACTGCGAAACCAATTATCCCGGTGTAAATAAGAGAGAACCCAGTTATCCCTATGTAATAAATATCGGACCCAATTATCTCCATGTAAAGAACTGCGAAACCAATTATCCTCATATAAAGAACAGTGAACCTAATTATCTCCATGTAAAAAAAGAGCGAACCAAATTACCCACATCTAAATAAGAGCGAGACCAGTTATCCCCATGTTTATAAGTGCGAACTGAATTATCCCAGTGTAAAGAATAGCGAAGCCAATTATCCCAATATAAAGAAGAACGGACCCAATTATCCCCATGTATATAAAAGCGAACCAAATTATCCCCATGTTATAAATATCGGACACAATTATCCCCATATAAAGAACAGTGAACTCTATTATCCCAATGTAAAGAATAGCAAACCGTTGATAAAATGTGCTATATTTATTAAAAGCAATGTTGGAAATATAAATGAACTCGTTTATTGATAAATGAACAATTAAAATCCATAAAAAATAAAGTTAGTTATTGAAAGGTGATTGCAAAGTACAAACGAAATGTTACAATAAAAAAGACATTTTTTGCTAAATCAAAAGTGAAAATTACAGCAGTGAATTCATATCATGAACAGTAAACAGTCTTTCACTTGGCACTTCAACACAAAAACCATCGAGAGAGACACTGCACTTTGTCCAATTCATAAATGTATTCCATGATTCACATTTTAATCCCGTCGAATAAGTGATTTTTTTCTTTATCCAGACAATCACTGGTAAGCTATCCTCCCCAAGTAATGGCTTCACAACCTCCGTGGACGTAGATCTATCCATCTTGAGGGTTCCTGGATATCTGAATTAATAAATTAAAACCCGTATATTAAAACAGCTATTGAACCTTAAAGTTACTTGTACAAAAATATCGGGAACAGCGAACCCAATTATTCTCAGGTAAAGAAAAACGAACCCAATCATCTTCTTGTAAAGAATAGCACATCCTACGATGAGAGCGTTCGGTAATCTTGACAAAATTCGGAAAATTTCATTAGAGCCGAAGAAAGGAGTGCTGAACTAATTAATTTAATATCAATCCTCCTACATGACAGTGAATGATGGACAAGTCTCTCACAGAAGACTTGAGGCAGTAAAGATGTGGTTCTACAGAAGGATGCTGAGAATGCCATGAATAGAACATGTGAGTAGCGAGAAAGTTTTAAGGATAATATGAGCAAAAAGGACACTTTGGCTTAGGATCAGCTAGCAACTTACATAATGAGCTTATGTAAATGAATAGCAGGACATGAAAAAAGCGAGGGATATTAAGGGTCAAACATTGCTTAGGGAAATATGTTCGTGGAGAGCCATGAACGCCTATATCCTGAAGGGAAAAGGGCCACGCCCAGTAAAAAAAAAAAAAGGAAGATTGAGTTAAGCTGTAGTATTTTGTCTTAGTACATTTTCAAAATAAATTAGAACTCTTCATTTTTATTTTTTTTCCCGAAAAAAAAAAAGTTGCCTCTTCAACATTTATGTAGAAAAAATTCATCCGTTTAAACCGATTTGGGGCCATGCCCGATTTTGGTATTCCTAAAATTCTCGTATCCCCCCACCCTGTAATATTTAATTCTTACATGTATGCCAATTACACATATACTTACATACACAAAAAATATTTTATGTATGCATACTGTATATGCATTGTATCTATTAGGTTGGTGCAAAAATAATGACGTAATAATGTCGTTTTTTGACGTATTTTTTAACGTCAAAGAACGACATTATTACGTCATTATTTTGCACCAACCTAATATTAACATTAACACTCTCACTTAGACTCACTAGAAAACAATTCACTGTTAATAACTCATTCTCGAATTGCCCCCTTATTCTGTTGGTGTAGTAAGCCGAAGGGTGCACATCATACGCATGCCCCACCAAAATATTTCATTCCCCACCGGTGAGCATGAAATCCCATGTTGGGAATTATTGGTCTAAATCTAGAAAATAAATTACAAAAAAATGTTTTGTTTTTTTTCACTACGATAACAAATGATAAATAAGTGTTCATTTTATTAGAGGACCAAGAAAAAAAAACCTCGGTATCTGATTTAGCACCCCCTACTTTAACTTCTGATCCCACCAACAATTCTTATTTTCTGACACCATGCTTACAATGTCTATAAAAAAAAATATTGTATTACGAGAATCCAAAATGGATGACATTCGTGGTCACATCCTGAATAATCTTCAAAATTTCAACCTAAACGGAAAAATCTCCTAAGCCGGCCAAGCATAAACATTGATGTCTATATGAGAACCAATAATACATAGTGCTAGAGAAAAAAACAACAATGACAAAATAATTTGTAATATGAGCACTGGTAAAAAAGAAAGGTAACTGAGACATTAGGTTTATAACATAAGGCTGGAATCTTCTGCACCAACTAAATTAGCCTCTTCAAATTTTCTATAAATTTATGTAGAAAAAGTTCATATGTCTAATTTCAGAAAATAAGTTTTAAAAATTTCTTATAGTTTATCTGCAAGATAATTTTTTCTAATAGGTTAGATGATTCTGTCTATATTTCTGAGATGAGGTATTATGTACATCATTTACATTATTCGGACTATTGTCTTCATCTTTGTCGCCATACTTATCACAACGTTTCGGCCGTTGTACGCTCCGGCCTTCTTCAGATATCTCTCCCGAGTAAGACCCCCCCATAGAGAAGAACATGACTAAAGACTGTGTGTACGCTATCCCATGCAGCTGCGGAAAGGAATATAAAGGAGAGACAGACCGCCCCCCTCAAGGTAAGGCTTCAAGAACACCAGAAAGCTGTAACACGAGGGGAAGTAGAAAAATCAGGGGTGGCTGACCACATATGGAGAAAGAAGGGAGATCACCGCCCTCTGTGGGATCATGTTGAGATCATAGACAAGGAACACCATTGGAAAATTCGTAAACTTAAGGAATCAGCACATATTCTAGGCCACAAAAATCTCCTGAGCTTAACAAGCATAGAAATAAATACAATATGGGAACCAGTAATAAGGAGTGCCAGAAAAAAGCAATGATAACAACATAGTTGCAATATGAGCTCTGGTAAAAACATGAAATGATAACAGCAAAATTGCAATATGAGCACTGGTAAAATGGTTGCTGAAGACATTAGG